GCAATTTTACACAAGCTCACTTGAATGCGTGTTCGGGTGAAGTAAGTGACAAATATTCAAACGAGATGATATTTGGACTAGCGTTCCTTGGGCAACTATCCAAAGCTAACATTCTCACACTGATACTCCCCTGAGCCTCCTCCCTGTTAAATATTTTTGGACAAGTGTTTTTGCAGTTCAGAGCTGCATCAGCTTCCAGGATATAGCTACCATTTGAATTCTGCCCCCCCCCCCCGCATAGCATCAGACTGGTATTTTACAGAGAAATAAATTGGCAACAAGTTGTCATCTAATACTATTGCTGGCCACAACGACTCTGAGAAATCCGAGGATACCAAATGTGAAAATAGCCCTGTTTTCAACAAAACGAACAAAAGGCATCCAGGGTCGCATGTCCTATTAAAAGCACTAAGATTTAATACACAGTATGATCCTATGTATGGATCTTCTAAAATGTTATTGGTCCCAGGAAAATGAATATGGTGTTGCATCCTGAATGATGACTTCCTTGGTTTCCATAGCACTGTGTTTTACTTTGATCTCACTTGTTAAGACAGCTGTAAGAAGAAAAAGTTAAAGGTGTCGAGATTCTTTGGCCACTGCTACCAACGTGTGGAAATCATTTTCCTCACCAGAGACAATAACGATATAATAAGTATTCCTGATTCCGCATTAACAGAATGGCCAGACCGGATTGCAAAAACCCAGGCGGTCCTGACTATCTCCGTTCCCATCTAATGCTCGTCCTGGTAGCCCTGGGATTAATTTCTCGGGATGTCTAAGGAAGACCTACGATCTGTTGCCCGTTCCGAGCGGAATCAAAGCAGACACCCGCCGCCAAAACAAATCACGTGGAGAAGCTGAGCAAGATCAAGCTCCTCCCTTTTCCAATGGGATCCAATAGCTATTAAAGGCGCTGTCCCTTCTGTCCAATCGGAATAGGCTACGGCGCTGTTCCCGGATCGTTCCGCCCCGCCCCCCCACAGCCCAAAGAAAAAGGCGCTATTCCGGAAAGATGGCGGCGCTCAGGTTTGCAAGCGACGTGGAAGTGGGTTTAGAGTCGGTGTTTCCGCAGGAACTGGAGTTGTTTGCTGATGCTTTTCCTGCGCAGACCCGGTACCGGCTCTGTGGGCACGAGCTGAGCATCACGCAGTACCACGGGGCGCGGCTGGGGGTGGCTGCTCCGGTCTGGGAGGCGGTGAGCGCAAGTCCCGACCTGGGACGGCCGAGATTTGTTAAGCCCGTAACTAGGACTGCTGGTTCAAGCGGATCGTATACGCATCTATGAGTAATTGGCAGAAAGAACCAAGAAAGTCTGGACGGTTTAAAGTCTAACCGTCTTATAGTCATTCCCAGGAATGACTATAAACACCACTAACGCCTTAAGGATCAAGAAACATTACGAATAAGCTTTCGTGCACCCATTTCATTAAATGCATGGAGTGGTCTGGAATCAAAGGGGGCAATGGGGACTTGGCACCCTTACATGCACACATTGAGCACCTTTTGGCGCCTCCTTTCCTGAGTTGGCTTAGCTTTGAACCTGGATTGTTGCATAGCACTAATACGTGGTGCAAAGGAAACTCACTACAAAAACAAGGAATGAACATAATTGTACCAGTTTCATTAAGGCTGCTTAATATACTTCGGTATTTCATTTGCCTCATTTCTCAGTGGATATCCAGATCGGTGCCCTGGCTTTATTTATATCTGCAATATAAGACGTGCTCAGTATGTGATGATCTAGAACAATTTGATACATTTTGCACAAGTATTTTCATAACACTATTTATATTATGTGATAGAGGCTTAAAAATGAAACCGAAGAAAACTTAAGTCAAAATGCTAAAATACCATCTGAAAAATCAGCACAGTGCCAGTATGATGAATAGTATAAAGACAATCCCTGCTATCAAGTGTCTTAACTTTTTTGTCTCTATGTATTTATATCTTAATTTGCATCTCTGCCTCCACCTGAACAACCATATTAATATCCTTAAAGTCCAAGGATAAAGGGGAAATAGAGGATGCGTCATAGGTGTTTGCAGGGGGAGCACAATGGAGGGAGGGGCGGAAAAGTGTAGTGATGTCATGACACAAACCCAGTGAGTTACATACTTGGATCTAATAATGTCAAGATGCAAGGACACAAGAGTGGCATTTACACCATGGCATCAACTCGTGCATGCTGCCATTTCTTCATTATCATGGTTACCTGCAGACAACAGTGGGATACATAGGGGTAAGCAGAGATAATGTGCTAAAAGGGAGGAAAGAAAGACTCCTTTGGATAAATAGCAAAGCTAGGGTGGATATATGAAAGCGGAGGACATTGTATAAGAACAGTCAGAAAGACAGAGCTAGAGGAAGATCTTACTTGTATTCAAATAAACTTGTATAAGGTATACTTAAATAATGATATGGAGCACATCAGTCTCATTTAGAAAACAAAATGAGTAGAGTGCTCATTTAGCAGCACACTCTACTCATTTAGAAAACAAACATCTGGGAATCATAATATTTTTACTTGGAAGAAAAAAATCTAGAAAGAGATCACTTTAATATATAGTACTTTGGTGGTGAATAGGATTCTTCCTAGACTTTTTACATTCTAGGCATGAGCTCTGATGAGATCACTTGAGATGAGGGAGCACCTAGAAGAGCAGCAAGGAATATGGAAGAGACAAAGCTGTCTTACATCAGGTCAGACTAACTGTCCCTCTAGCCCAGCACTGAATAGAAGTCTGGTTGGATTAGACTAAGCCCCTACCTCCTCCAGCATTCTGTATCACGCAGTGGCCAACCAGATGTGCCTGGGAAGGACCTCCCATTTTCTGACTGACAGCAGCTCCTCACGGTTTCAGATTTTCCCCATGTTCTGGGAAAACATTGTTTCTCAGAAATCTCTCAGGGAAATAAATTTTGCAACTAATAATTTGTGATGTGTGTGAAACCAGGATGATGACATGAAAGGGAGGATAGTTATGTTAAAAAAAAATTATCTGCAAAGTTCCTCAGAACAAATGCTAAAATGTTGCCTCTTGGAAGCAAAAAGCTTGTAGAATAGAAGGCCTGGTGCCCTCAGCAGAAGATGTCTGTGAAGCAAAAAGAACTTGTATTTGTGTGCTGATATATTAATTTTTTGTTTGACTCTTTCACTCTAAAATGTTGTTCCCTCATCTGTTTTGAAGGCTCTCACTCTCTGTGAATATTTTGAAGCAAAGAAGGTGAACTTCCAGGGCAAGAAAGTTATAGAGCTGGGTGCTGGGACAGGTGTTGTGGGCATCCTCGCATCACTTCTTGGTATGTTGAATTAACTGCAGAAAAGGGTGGGGAAGAATAATTGGTTAAATTAGTAGGTGCTAGAACTACTATATAACACCTTTTAAGACTAACAAATTTTATTATAAAGAATAAATTTAGATGCATGGACTGGCTTAGCTGATGTAGGATTGCAGTACATAGGGATGAGGCGGGGGAATGGAGAGGAAGACAGTAATGTTATGCAGGTGAAGGTTCCATGGGGACAGATTACGAGCCATTGTAATCTATACTATGTTAAAAACCTACTGTGCTTGTTCAGACCTTTTGTTTGTTCTTAGTCTGAACCTTTTGATGTATGTAAGCTTAGCTGTCTCATGCTCAGTATGCTACGTAGTTTTTTTCTATTCCCCAAGTGCTGCTTTGAGATGTATAATGGAATGTCCTGGGAGGTAAATATGCTCTGATATTACTTTGTTCTTATTGTGAGTCCCGAAGTCGAATTTATGTCCATTACAGGTGGTCCTCGGGTTATGACCACTCATTCAGCGACTGTTCAAACTTGTGATGGCTCTGAACAAGGGAACTTACAACTGGTCCTTGGAATTCCAGCTGTTGCACTGGCCATGTGATTGCGATCTCAGCACCCGGCTCATAGTTATGATGTCACAGCGAGCTGTGGTCACATGATCACGTTTTCCAACGTTCCCTGTCAGCTTCCCACAGGCAAAGTCAATAGGAAAGCTGTCAGGAAGTCAGAAGTTGCGGTCACGTGAGGTCCTCGCTTAACAACCTGCATGGTCTTCACTTAACAGTGGCAACTGGGACTGCCAAAACTGCTGTTGCTAAGCGATGTGGTCACATGATGTCACATTTTGCAACCACATTGCTTAGCAACACCAATTCCAGTCTCAAATGCATTGTACCTGTAATTCATTTGAACAAAATCTGGCCTGCTTATCCTAGATAGAATCCAAAGGAGCGTTGCTGACAGAGCAAAAGCATGTGAAGGTGTCTCTAATCTTGCACATGAAATTGTTGGGCCATACGATGGTGGTGTTGGTGTTAATGTGAGGGCAAAGTAGACATATGGCCTGGTGCAGGGTCTGGTTCCCATGTTAGTATCATTGTCATATTGTTTCTTGTTGCTTCTGTGAATCTACTTCAGATCTGGTGGTTGTCTATGCAAAGTATTGGCCTGCCACCGAGTGCTTCAGAAAGTACAGTGTCGTTGGATAATAGCTGTAATTTTAAAAATAAAGCAAAGCACATTTTGGCAATCTTATAATGCTAAATGTCGGGAAAACTCTGAAATAGAAATCCACATGAGAATGATTATAACATTTGTGCCCTTGAGATCTCAGCCCTAGTTCAAAGCAAAATGCTGCATTCTTCAGAACCTTTGTTTTCTTTCCCATTATTTACGTGTTTGCTTATCAGCATATTGTTATCCACAGAAATATTGAATTCAGTATAAAGCTTTATGCTGATGTTTGTCTGTATTCCTTCCTTTGATGTAGAATATAGGATGGGGTTGAGCCAAGGAGAGCAGATGGATCTCAAAGTTATCGTGTAGACACATTATTGTTTTTAGTGCAGCTGGTTGTAGTTGTATTTGTGGGTAATACCTGTGCACCGAATGCTTGAGAACTTTTGGTTATTCAGAGTTCCCTTTCTTTTTGTTTCAGGAGGTAATGTGACCATCACAGATCTTCCTGTAGCCTTGAAGCAGATAGAGGAGAATGTCCATCGGAATTTGCCTGTACAATGCATGGCACGAACCAGGGTTTGTGCTCTATCATGGGGTCTGGACCACAAGGACTTTCCTCAAAACTATGACCTCATCCTGGGTGCAGATATTGTCTATCTCAAAGATACTTACCCGCTCTTGATCAGGACTCTGCAGCATTTATGTGGTGCTCAATCTACTATCTATCTGTCTTCAAAAATGAGAGAGGAACATAGTACAGTGCTGTTTTTTGAGACTCTGCTCCCTGTGCACTTCACCACAAAACTCGCCTTTAGGAATGAGGCTGAAAATATTAACATCTACAAAGTGACCAGCAAGGATAACATTGGTTAATGACTGTCTTTCTTTGGTATGCACAATGCAACACTCATTTCCATCTTTTTTAAAGAAAACATAAAAGTTGTGATTTGAGAATTCAGAGTGGAATGAACTTTCTGTGTCTCTCACTAATTGCTATAAGAGCAGATCTGCAGACTTTGCAAGGAAGAACCCTGTTTGAGAAACGGCAGTCCTACCGAGCATATATTGCCAGTGGAAATTTAGCAGTAGCCATTGTCTCTACTGTCTTCATCCCCTAGTCATTCAGTAGACTTCACACTTTAAATTTTCCTGAGGAGACAGTGAGAAAAATATGAAGTTCTGTCTTTAGGAATGTTATTTTCCAGGGTGTGATACAGCTTTCAGGAATGGCTCATTTTGTTCTTTTTGCAGAAATGTTCAGAAGTGGCTAAGACACCAAATGGTGTGTGTGCAAAAGAGGAAATGCGGTAGTTCTAACGGTGAACATAGATGGACTCTCCGCTGCACTTATGAAAGTTTATTCATTTATTTGATTTGCA